TCTAGCCACCTCATTCTCTGCCATCCCCTTCTTCTTTTGCCATCTATTGTTCCCAGCATTAGGCTCTTCTCCAGTGAGTCCTTCCTTCTCATTAGGTGGCCAAAGTATTTGAGTTTCATCTTCAGTATCTGGCCTTCTACCAAGCAGTTAGGGTTGATCTCTAAGACTGACTGGTTTAATCTCCTTGCAGTCCAAGGGACTCACAGGAGTCTTCTCCAGTACCACAATTCAATGGCCTCTATTCTTCGGCACTCAGCCTTCCTTATGGTCCAGCTTTCACAGCCATAAATTGCAACTGGGAAAACCATAGCCTTGACTATACGCAATTTGTTGACAGGGTGATGTCTCTGCTTTTTGGTATGCTGTCTAGATTTGTCATAGCTTTCCTTCCCAGGAGCAAGCGTCTTTTAATTTCTTGGCTGCAGTCATCATCTACGGTGATCTTGGAGCCCAGGAAAATAAAATCTGTCACTTCCTCCATTTCTTCCCCATCTATTTGCCAGGAAGTGAGAGGACTGGATGCCATGATCTTAGTTTTCTTAATGTTGAGTTTCAAGCCAACTTTTGCACTCTGCTGCTTCACCCGCATCAAGAGGCTCTTTAGTTCCTCTTCACTTTCTGCCGTGAGAGTGGTATCATCTGCATATCTGAGGGTGTTGATATTTTTCCTGGCAATCTTAATTCCAACTTTCTTTCTTTCTTTCTTTCTTTCTTTCTTTCTTTATTTATTTATTTATTTATTTATTTAGAATATTTATATGTCATCCTTTTGCAGAGCCTCAGGACGGCTTACATAAATAATAAACTTGTGATTCATCTAGCCCTGCCTTTCTCATGATGTGCTCTGCATATTAGTTAAATAGGCAGGGTGACAATATACAGCTTTGCCACACTCCTTTCCCAGTTTTGATCCAATCAGTAGTTCCATGTCCAGTTCTCACTGTTGCTTCTTGACCCACATATAGGTTTCTCAAGAGACAAATAAGATGGTCTGGTACTCCCATCTCTTTTAACAAATTGCTAGAATTTGTTGTGATCCACACAATCAAAAGCTTTAGCATAGTCAATGAAGCAGAAGTAGATGTTTTTCTGGAACTCCCTAGCTTTCTCCATGATCCAGCGTATGTTGGCAATTTGATCTCTAGTTCCTCTCCCTCTTTGAAACCCTGCCTGTACTAATGGTAGTTCTTGATCCACATGCTGCTGGAGCCTAGCTTGTTGGATTTTGAGCATCACTTTGCTAGCATGTGAAATGAGTGCAATGGTGTGGTAGTTTGAACATTCTTTGGCATTGCCCTTCTTTGAGATTGCCCTTCTTTTCCAATCCTGTGGCCACTGTTGTGTTTTCCAAATTTGCTGACATATTGAGTGTAGCACTTCTACTGCATCATCTTTTAAGATTTTGAATAGCTCAGCTGGAATACTGTCACCTCCACTAGCTTTATTGTTGCTCAGACTTCCTAAGCCCCACTTAGCTTCACATTCCAGGATGTCTGGCTTGTGGTCAGTGACTGCCCCATTGTGGTTATCAGGGAGATTAAGATCTTTCTTGTATAGTTCTTGTGTTAGGGATCTTCTGTAACATAAGTCTATTTCTCTATAGTTACAACTTATTTACTTTATTTTATTTTATTGCTCCCATGTGTGTCAATGTACTCTTACTTTGTATCTCATTGCTAGTCATCCATCCAGTCTTTTTGGAGCACCTTAGGGTCTGCTAGTGTTTCACCACCTGTTATAATTTGGGGTCATTTTGAAACTTATGTACCTCACTTATTCGTACCTGACTACATTTCAGCTAATACTTAATACCAGTACAGGCCCTTGGAGGATCCCTTATTTTACTTTATTGTGACTATGAACATTTCATTCCAAACATCTTTTATTTTTCACCAGTTTCTAATGGTGATGACTGGAAAGTTTACCCAAAAATTTTTGAACAATGTTAGAACTTTTGGAATGTGCCATGTACCTGGTTATTACCTTCTGCATATTTGTTGAAGCTGGATTTCTTGATGGGAGCTATGCTGACTTCACCTCAAAAATGCATTTTCTATATGTTGAATAATGATAGTTTCAGTAATGTTTTTATCCATTTACATGGGACAAAACTTGAAGTGGCAAGTCTTTAACTGCTTGGGTTGCCTTTTAAATACTGATTGAGGTTTTTGTGGGTAAAACACTAACCCAAACCCTTATGAACTGTTTTACTGAGTGTATATTTCTGGTGTGGTGTGATTGATTGCAGAGTTAGATAGGATTCTCTGTGGATGTGTGAGAGAGGGGCAGATAAAGGTATGTGTTCCCATTGTCTTAGGTTGTGTATTAGCTGTGACTGTTTATCTTACAAGTATGGGGGAAGCTAGGATAGCAACTAAATTGGATACTCCTTTTCTTTATATTCCATCTCTCCATATATTTCTTCTGTTTGTGTGCTGTAAATATTTAAAATAACATCAGTTTTGAATCACAATGGTATATTAAAGTCATTATACCTTAGTATCTTCATTTATTCTACTCCCCTCCCCTCCCCATTGATATAACCTGGTGATGTACTAGTATAGATGATATAACTGCAATTTTATCCTTAGCAGGTCAGTGTAACTTTGGGGTAGAATTATATTGTATATTCTTTATTATAAACTTAAACACAGTTAGTAACTGAATAAATCTGACAGAGGTTGTCATATGGAAATAATGTTGGAAGCAAAGTCTGTAATGTTGATGATAGCAATGCAACAAAAATACGGAGTGAAATTAGACATAGTATAAGTGTTATACCTTGAAATGGAGTGAAATCTGCATTCTGAACACACGGGTAGCTGTGATACTGTAGTCTTTTAATTTGATATGACTTTTTTCTATATGCTAAATAAGTTTGCAGAATAAAAATTCTAAAGATTTTAAATGAAATGTCATTCAGTTATTTAAGGCAAAATATTGGTCATGCTATAAGTATCCACACTGTGTGACCTGATGTATACCTAATGACAACCTATGTGCTGAGGAGGCTGCAACTAGTTCCTGCCCACTTGCCACTGATTTTGCGAACAACCCAGGAATGTCCCCATTCATGTCTTGTTTGCTTCAGTTTTTGAACTTGAATCTCTGGGTTCTTAATAAAAAATTATGTGCACTTCATCTCAGCTAATCATGAGGTAATTATCTCATGTCTGGTCATTGCATGCATACTGCGTGTATTCTGTGATCCTCTACATGCACAAGGGAAAAATACCAGAAGTTGAAAAATAAAAAAAATGAAGTATTTAAAACTTGTATTCGGCACTAAATATCATAGGCAAGCTATATATTTTAATTAAATAATAAACCTTCAATTAGGAGGGAACACTTGGTAAGAGAACAAGTTTCAGGTTTTCTTCAAGTATGTGGGTTACCTTAACACAGAGTCACACAGTATTGAATTGTGTGGTCTGACATGATCTAGTGTTAACTTTTTAAACTGCCATTTTATGATACTATGCAAATTCACAATTGAGAAGACCCAAGTGTTATAATTGCTAATTTTGACAGGAACTTTATCCTAGGTATCATGCTATGCAGCTTTTGTACAAAGAGGTTTCATGAATTGTCTTTGCTAATAGTTATTGATTGGTTGAACCAGTTCTATGAATTGTTCGATATACAATCTTCACGAAAGATCTGTGCCTAGTCTGAGACTCAGGTGATCTGGGTTCTAATCCCCATGAAACCATGGTGCCAACTAAGTGACTTTGGGCCAGTCAGACTTTCAGCCCAGCCTATTTTACAGGGTGGTTGTTGCAGGAATAAGATTGAAAGCAGCAGGAGGAGAATTATGTAAGCTACTTTAATTTTTTTGTAAGAAAAAAAGGTGGGATTTAAAACTAATAAATCAGTGAAGAGTTCCTTTGTTAATGCTGGATAGATGGACCACTTGTCTTAATTTCCTTTTTGCTTGAATGCCTCAATGCAGCAAATTACGTATAAATATGTGTGAGCAAATTGACTATGTTACACAGTTGTGTTTTCTATTTCAGCTCTGGTAAAATTTTTGTATTGGTTATGTATTGAAATAAATGAAGGCATTTTAAATGTTAGTATTTGTTAATCTCTAGGAGGTTTTTTCTTTTCCCCTTTTCCTTTGCTGACCCCTACTCTTTCCCATCTAATTTATAATACAAATGTTCTAGGCAGAAGCTCAGTGGTATTACTTCAGTTCTGTGCAGCACAAAAAGTAAATAAAACTGCTGCAGTAGTAGTTTCTAAAGTGTAGTGTTGCCACACTTATTTGAATTGTCATTGGTAATGAGCCTACTGTTGCGCAAGAATTCATGATTGCATTCTCCGCCCCCCACCTTTTTGTGCTTCACAGGTCTTTGATACCCCATATTTAGTAAAAACTTAATTCCCTTGCCAAAGGCAGATGAGGAAAAGAAGTTGCTTTGAAATCCAGCTGTTCTTAAAGACGGTGGTACCTCCATGCAGTGCCTGAAGGTAAGCGTCTAATGCTCAAGAACAAAGATTTCAAAATAAAACTGTTTCATAGGATTTTACATTAAAATTTGTATTGCAGAAAAGTTTCAGTTGGACTTCTTTGCCATTTTAATTAAACAAATTCATTAGAATTATTTGTCCTGACTGTTCAGACATGGCAGTGATTCTGGTATGTTTATTCCAGCAATTCCTGTTAGGTCTTCAAATCATGGCTTGAATGAATGAATTACATTGTGCCAACATTGTGGAGTAGGCATGCACATGAACAGGTGTGGGCCAGAAATGGCCACAGCTTTTACTGTGTATAGTTCATAGACTTCAGTATGATATAGCATCTAGCCATCAGTAAGCTAACTAATAATGCCACAGAACCTATTTGTTTGGGCAAACATTGCTGGGAGTGTCAAGAAGCATCAGCTCTATGCTGCAGACAGACACTATGACCCATCCTCACAACCTGGGTGCATGGCTGATAGCTAAGTACCTAAGCTGGGTCTTGAGGCACCATCGCAAGTTCTCTTAAGTAAATTCCTAAATGGATAGTGAGGAGCATCTCCTCCTCCTCATTTATTACTTTTTTATACCTCCCATAGCCAAAGCTGTTTGGGCAGTTCTCAACAGGGTATAAAAACAACAAAATACAATAAATAAAACAGCATATTAAACTTTTTTTAAAAAATACTTAAAATAGCATTAGAAATACAGTTTTAGAAAAAAATAGCATTAGAAAAATACAGTAAAATGTTTCATTTTCTCTGAGAAATAGGTATTGCTTGGCACTATCATTAGCAGGTATATTCTAAAAGGTGAATTGGTGGAAATACAAACATTCAGTGTATAGAATCTTCCTTTGATCTATGTGTGCATGTTTGTCTCTATGCATATATACATGCTTGCATATATGTACCTTGGTATGCATTTATATTCGGCATCCACCAGCAGGGATAGCCCATGTATGGAGTCTTAGACATACTACCTATGCCTCCCAAGAGAAAAACAAATTTCCAAGGGCTTCTTTAATCATTGCATGCCCACAAGATAGCAAGTTGGAAGAGACTGGATAGACGGTATAGTGAAAGTGTAGCTCCTACAGATGTGTACCAGTTGTTACCTTCAGCATGATCATTAACCCCAGTATTTCTAATCTTCTAGTTCGCAGGATGTAACAGGTAAACCCATAATGTCTCATAAAGAATTACCACATGCTGGATCCCTTATACTAGGAGTGTACACACATGCACATTTCACAGAAGGCCTAATACAATTAGTTCTTTCCTATGGCTGTTACCAGTGAGGCAAACATAGCCAATCAGAATTTTTGGGAGAGCAAATTCAGCAGTAGCAGGGATGGGTTAGGACACCTATGCTGGAAGCAGGACTAAGGCCTTGTGGGTCACTGGTGGCCTGCATGTTGTGTATTTGTGCTGTATCCCATGAGCTTGTACAGGGACATTTCATAGCTGCAAGCAGGACTGTGGAATCAGAGTAGGAAGTAATTATTGGGTTACTGAAGCTGGAGTTGGTAAAAATGTGCCGATTCCAACTCCTAATAAATTTAAATTGTAATCTAAACAGTATTTTAAAATTTCCTATTTCACAGATAATTTGATTAACATATATTTTATAGTTATATTTTCAGAATATATTTTAATTTCATATATTAGTGAAAGTGGCACCCTATAAAAAATTTACAGTGACAAAGTGTCAACAAAGGCAGCTATACTTTGCAGTAGCAACAGATGGAAAATATGTATCAATGTAGTATAGAAGATGATGATTGTGAAAAAGTATGTGTTGCAAAAATTAGTTCTTGTACAAGAACATCAAATTTAAAAAGACTCTTGCAGCATTTTGGAGGTTGAGTGCTTTCAATCAATGTAGTAAATAAATAATAAGTATATTTATTTCCTATATTGATATATAAATAAAGGAGCCGGAGTTGAAGGTTTTATGTACCGACTCCACTGCCTTAGCTGCACATTAGGATTTGTGTTCCTTGGAAGTGTTGACATTATGGGGCGTTTAAGCTGACAATATTTATGTGTGTTTATGAAATAAATACTTGTGTTTCTTTGCAGTTCCTAAAAAAAACATCACACAGTCAAAGGGGTAAACTTTAGAAACCTAAAGAAGGCAACATGAAGTTATATGTATTTCTGGTCAACACCGGAACTACCCTCACCTTTGACACGGAACTTGCAGTACAGAAGTAAGAACATTTCTTCCAGTCTTCTAAGAGGAGTTTGTTGCTGGACTAGATAATAGCAAACCTATCTCAGAGTTACAGTATATGGTATATGTGGGGCTGAAGTTAGAATAGAACAATTGTTAAAATGCATCCCTTCATCTCAGCTTAAAACTTTTTTGTAGTACTTGGGAAATATAAAAACTATACTTTCTCTAATGTAGGTGAAATCTTATAAATGTTGTTAGATCTAATCCCCTTGTTTGGAATTTTTTATTCTTGCCAGTAATTCTGTAATGCAAAGTTGATGGTGCTGTTTTTAGAGGATAGCAACTGCAGTGGTGACAACCTCTGTTGCTTGTCTAGCCTTTAAGCAGCTAGGGGAGAATGGCCACTGCCCTTATTTCTTCGCTACTGCCCTTTATTTTCTGTAGAAGCTAATATTTGGATAACTGAAATGTGGTGTTTTATAATGTATTGAATGTTTAGCATATTAGTAAAAGTAGTTTTGCAATATGCCTTCATCATGCTTAAACATAGTAGAAGACACTCAAACATTCTTTCTTATCAGTGTGGCAGATCTTAAACAAGCAATCCAAACCAAATATAAGATTGCTATTCAGCATCAGGTACTGGTCGTCAATGGAGGAGAGTGTATGGCAGCTGAGAGGAAAGTCTGCAGTTACAGTGCAGGAACGGTAAATATTGACTTATGCTTTCATTCTTTTAATTTTAAAAAAGTCTAAAAGGACAAGGCAATAACAATAGGTTTTATTTTAACATAGGACACAAACCCAATTTTTCTCTTCAACAAGGAAATGATCTTGTGTGAACGTCCTCCAGCTATCCCCAAAACAACATTTTCGGCAGAAAATGAGATGGAATTAAAAGTTGAAGAATCTCTTATGATGCCTGCAGTTTTTCACACAGTAGCTTCACGGACTCAGCTTGCTGTAGTAAGCAACTTCACATTCCTTCAAAACAACTGAATGTATTAAAGTATTAAGCTCTTAGTAAAATTTAGTCTGATAGGTTTTTGAAACAACATTCTGTGATACAAATATTTTACATTTAGTGCTGTTCTCTTTCATTTTTTGGGGGGGGGGGTTAAACTTTTAGTCTCTTTTAGATGTTGATGGTACTATTTTAATCCTGGATTCTGAGAACAAGCCCATTGCTTCAGGTTTATATTAAGTCTGCTGGATACAGTGATCAATCAGGATATTGTAGGACAGGTTAAACTAAGACAGAATGGACTGCAAAATAGGTGTGAAAAGTGTGATCTGACAAAATTGTGATCCTTAAGTGCTGCTTATGCCCAGCAAACACTGCATTGCACCAGCCCTTAAAAGTTTCATTTTCTTTTTCATTGTCTGTCCTTCTAATTAAATTTTTCTTTTTTGAATGGATACCCTCCCTGATTGCAGTAGTGATGCATCAAAAAGAATGTGTGGGCAGTGGCAGTGGGGAATCCAGATTTGGACCAAATCAAGTTCATTTAGTTCATCAAGCTATCCAGAAGAAGCTAGCCAGATGATTTACAGAAACTTGAAAAACAGTACATGATGAATGGGAAGGGAATCATATCTTAATGGCAGAGACAGCACTTTGCATGTAAAATGTTCATCATTCAGTCCTTTACATTTTAAAAGGTTAAATGGCAAGTGAAGGGCAGGAGAAAATGCCACAGTCCTTGGGGACTCATGGCCCAAGGAGACAATACTGAGCTTGATAGACAAATGGTATAAGGCGGTTCCTACATGCTGTGTTCCTACATGTAGGCCCTGGCATCTAATTATCAGAAGGTACACTGTCTCTGAACATGGCAATGTTTCCTACATATACTTGATGCATTCTGAAATCATAATATCCTGTGGCAATGAATTTCATAATTCATTATGAGAATATTGCTTTCCTTGTCCTTTGTCTTGAACCTGCTGCTGGTCATTTTCATTTGCTGACCCTGATCTCTATATTCAGCCTCACTAAAAGATTTCTCATATTTGATGAAATCTACTTGAGGGAGCAGTGGTAACAGAAAAGTGGGTTGTGATTCTTAAAATATTTTTATTTTTCAGTCTCATAGGTTAATAAAATGCTACAGTTTAGGAAAGAACCTATAAAACATTTCTAGCAATAGCTTTAGATTAAAGATTAGATTCCCTTGTGTGAGAATAACATGCCATCCAGAGTTTTTTACACTGAGGTGAAAATATCTATCTGAACGTATCTGTTTTCATAGTAGCAGAGCTTAATACATTGTGGATTGTATAACGTTTAATCTTCCAACACTGTATATCAGAGTAGTTTTTACTGCTTTTAATGAACATTTATTTGCTGTATTATTTTAAAAGGGAAGCCTGAGTTGCATCAGAATTCTTTAAAGCAAGAAGTTCTAAAATTAGAGTATCTGAAAAAGTTGGGTAATTGACCTCTTCCATGGTAGAAAGTCCTTTAACAGGCCCCAGTGGCTTGAAGTTTTGTCTCTGATTATATTAACTGCACAAACTTTTTAGAATTTGATGATGATGATATCTCTAATATCTTGCCTATTCCTAGGCTAACCTCTTTTAGAACAAATGGGAGAAAGGAAGCTGCTTCAGAGTACCCAAGTGTTCTGTTACCATGGCCTACTTAGCTTTAATTATAGTGGGGTAGGCTGACTTCAGAAGCCCAGACTACATTGAATAGAAGTGTGTTTTATTTATGTTAAAGCATTTTTTGTTTTCCTCTTCTTCCTGAAAGTTTCCCAAAATGGCATAAATAAAGTCAGTAACTAACTAAGGTAGCCTCTGCCTGCAGGCTTACAATCTGTAAGACATGGTACACAAGGAAAGCAAGTGATGGGAAGGGAGAAGGAGGAAAAAGACAAACCTAGGTGCTCATTCCAGTGACCCATAATTACTTATTAGCATCCAAGAAGGTTAGTGACCTTCATCCCAAATATGCACAGAGCTTCATTTTCTACTCTACACTTCTTTGTGGTGTTATCCATAGTGATAAGTTATCAGTTACATCCCCTTCTCCCTGCTTTGGTCTTTAGGGGTATGGTGAAGGTTTTTAAAACCTCTTGGAAGGTTTTAAAAATGAGCCCTGTATAACAACAGTGGAGTTCATTGTTTGCCCTGTTTGTCGTATATGTATTCCAGAGGTCTCAGGCTTACTAGGCAGTGAGTACTCCCATGTAGTGTGCCAGAATAAGGCAGCTAATAGTGTAGGTCTAACTTCCATCTGTTGCTTTGCTATTGCTTAAATGCACTATCTCAGAAAATCCCTGTATTTTTTTAAGATGGTTTATCCTTTCTGACCCTTCCATATTAAATTATCTCTTAATATTCTTTTGCAACCCCTTAAACTGCCCATCTTGTATAAAGCCATTGCACTTAGGAATCACAATATCTTTCCGCACTTTGGAATACACAGTAAATGATTTCCCTTGTATACTACCTTTCTCAGAAATGGCAACTATTTTGAATTGGTCTTGCAACAAGTAGATATGAATGTCTGAGTGATAACCCAATTGATATTTGTAATGTTATTTTTGTACAGGAAATGTATGAGATTGCCAAGAAACTTTGTTCCTTCTGTGAAGGTCTGGTCCATGATGAACATCTTCAACACCAAGGCTGGACTGCCATAATGGCAAATTTGGAAGATTGCACATATTCTTATCAAAAGCTGCTTTTCAGATTTGAAAATGTTTATTCAAGTTACCTGCACTCCATAGATGATATTAAGCTGAAACTTACACAGTAGGTTTATCATTAGGCTCCTCAGTAAGAAGCTACTTGTACACAGGCACTTTACTAATACTAAAGTTCTATAATTTTATACATCTATAGTAAATTTAATATGCCAGTTATAGTATCTCAGTGTGTACTAAGTAAAACAAAAATAAAAAACAGTGCGAAGTACCTTAAATGGATCTGATTCTGGAATTAAAGCTACAGTTCTATGCATTCTGCCATGGGTGAAGGTTTCATTGAATTCAGTATGCATGCTGTCACACTTAAAGAAATGCAACATGTGTTTCCTGCTTTTTTTCTCCCAAAATACAAGTAGGCTATGCTTAATTGGGAGTGTGGGAAATTTTTTAGAAGCTTCTTTATGTAACTGGCTGAATAAAGTTAAATCACAGTATAACTTACAGTACAATTCTATAGATGTCTATTCAGAAATTCAGTGGAGCTTGCTCACCAAAGTGTATAGAATTGCAGCCTTCACTAGTTAATTTCAAAACGTTCTGTTAAGCACTTCACAGTACATTTTTAAGTCCTTTGAGAAGTGTGCTTTAGAGTTTTTGTACATGCTCCTTGGACAAATAATTAAGAACAGTAATTCATTTTTAATCTGTCAGAATGGTATCTTGAAATCTTGCATTGTGTAATCAGCAATACTTGTTGACCATGTGCAATGACAAAAACATCTACAATAAAATGTAATACTGCCTCAGGTAACACACATTATATATTGGTTACTTAGTTTACATTTTCTGAGTTATATCTCAGATTATTTGGTAAATTGTGTTTATGATGCTATATAGTCAAAACTAAGAGCTACATGCGAAATCATAGTAGGAAAGTTCTACTTGTATAAATTGAGTTTCTCTTTTTTTCCTCCCCTTTCTACCCCACAGCACTCCAAACATATGCCCAAATTTATTCTAGAGGACCTGATCCTCTCAGTTTCTTGATTTTGTTTTGGGTGGGCTTGGTTTGGGTTTGGTTTGGTTTCTGGAGCTGCAATGACAAGGGAGTTGAGTTATTTGATCTTGTACCTTTGCCCATTCTACTGGCAGAAGAACGTTGGAAGATGTAACCTGGTGTTGTAATAGAGTTGGAAATCTGTTTAGGTACTTCATTGGTTGAGAAAGTGATATGTTTGAAGGCCTGAATATAAAATTGTGCTGAAAAAACTTTAAACAGCACATTTGAAAATGCATGCTGCTGTATGCTGCTGTATGCTGTAACTTTGATGGTTTATGCTTAATATGGCTTTTTTGTGTGTTCTTTTCCCAAGCTTAGGGGCTGCTGTTTCTATTATGGCCAAGATTCCCCTGCTGGAATGTCTAACCAGACATAGTTATAGGGAATGTTTAGATCGACTGGATTCTTCTTCTGAACATGGAAGGACAGAAAGTGAAGATACTGAAAATGAGAAGTCTGCTGAAGTGATGCATTCTCCTGATATGCTTAAAATGAACAAGCAGTCTCTGTTAGCATCATTTTGCAAATCAGTAGAACACCCAGCCTCAGATGGTACACTTTCTGACAAAGCGAATGAAAATAGGGAAGCCAGTCCAAATCCTTCAGTCCAAGAAAGTGATGCTTCAGTGGAGCTTAAAGATGATCTGCCTTCTTTCAATGTCTCCCTTTTAGACTGGATAAATGTTCAAGATAGACCTAATGATGTTGAATCGTTGGTCAGAAAATGTTTTGATTCTATGAGCAGAGTAAGTTAATGTATTTTTTCCACAGTATTTTGAATTATAGCTTCCCCTTTTATATATTTTAACCATTTTTCATAGAAATAGAGATGGTTAGATCCAGAGCTGTCTTTTTATGAATGGAAGAGCTCATTTTCTTCATTATGTGGCATTCATTCAGTGCAGGCTTTCACTTTTTGCAGCAGGAGCATCCTTTCTGCAGAGTTCTGCTCACTGAAAGAACCCATTGAGAAGTTCAGTGCTGTAGCTCTGAATTGGATCTTTAGTTATACTTGCACACTCTTCCTTGCATCTTTCCAAGGGCTGCATTGTTTTCTTCCTGTGTCCTGTTAAAAAAGCAAGACTGCCCACTATTCATGAAGAGATTTCTTTCTGTTGTGGGAGTTGCACCAAGCAGACGTTGTAATTTTCCTTTCTTTCCTTATCAACTCATCAAATAAGAGAATATGTGTACCCATTTGCTGCTATTGTTACCACGGGAAAATGAAAGCCAAACTGAGATCCACATAAGATCTTGCTATGTCATCAAAACATCCATGCTTCAAAAATATAGTGTTGGTTCCAGACTGGCCCTACTGCAAACAAGGGGGCAGTAGATTCAGTGAAGGTACCTGCTGAAAGAAGAGAGAATTAGATGCAAACTTTGCTTATTCTCCACCTGTTGCCTCCAGTTTTGCCTATCATGTTTGTCCAAAGGGTTCCCTAACTCTCTAGGACAGATTTTTGGGAAGCACAGAGACTGTAGGAGAAGAGCAAATCATTGAAAGTTACCTTTACTTCACCAGCAAAATTCAAATATTGGGAAATTTGGATCCAGTCCCTTCTCTGCTGATGTGTGTGGAATGATATGGGCATGATACAGTATTCTGAAAACAAAATAGCTATTACTGTAATTTAGGCATTTTTATTTTTACTTATTTCAAAATGTTAGATTAGATTAAAAAAGATTTCAAATGTTCATGTGTATAACCTTAGAATAGGAAACATTTTGGTATAAAATGCTAGCTTGAAGCTGCGGTTTATGTTTAATCTTTAAATGCTATGGTATTTTAAAAGCACACTTTTAAAAATCTGTAGAATTGATAAACTGGACATTGTGTTGGTAATTGCTTTGTTTTGCAAATTTAATTCCTTAAGCTTTAAAACTGCTACTACCATGGAAAAATAGTAAAACTTAAAAATGTCGTTTATTCCAATACTTTCAATCTCATATTGTGATGACAAAAACATTTCTAGTATCTCTTTATGAACTAGTTAAGATGTAATGCTAAGCCATGCTTGTCAATAAGGCAACAACTAGTAGTTGTTGGATTTGCATGTAATGCTGTGCCATCTCCTTTGCATAAAAGTGAAAGTGATAAAAAGTTTCCAGTCCAGGGACCCATCCGATGTTGTTCTGACAGAAGGCAGTTTGTGTAAGTGGATATTTCTAGTAGCTGTCAGAGGGCCTTGAAAATGCTTTACAAAGAATTAGAGGAAACCTAAACATCTGGAAGTGAGCCATTTACTTGGCTTCATGAATTCCTGAAACCTAAATCAAAATGTTTCTTTGTAGAAAGATAGGATTGCAATTTATGTGTCCTAGGGACACTTCTTGCATGACACCTTAAAATATATTTTCCAGTAATGAACAATGAATTGTATAAGTTGAAGTCAGCATACACAGCTCATTTTCCCCCTTGTATCCCTGGAAAAACTTCTCCACTATATGTGTAATGTGTGGGCTGGTAACTTTCTGTACTATGAGAGCTGTATCATACAAACTGCAGTGGGAGAAAAGAGTTGCCTGTAATTGAACAGGTACTGCACACTTGCACTGCAGCCCCTGCTGTGCATAAAAGCCCCCAAACTGTCTGAAGAGGGTTTTCCATTGGTTCAGGCATAGGAGAGAAAGAAATACTGATTGCAGAAGCTGACTTTTGCTCATACACACCCTGAATGCAACATCCACAACTTGAAAGGTAAACTTAATTATTTTGTATTTTACTTAAGCTTTCCGGAGAATATCTGCTGCTGGGTGATTATATGCATTTCATAAGTAAACTAATAAATACATGAGTGTCAATAGACAGGTTATTCTCTGTGCTAGCACACATGACAAACTTTGACAGTGTATGACATGGATGAGAGGTATTAAGAATCTTTCAGGTCACAGTTCTTGAAGCGCAAGTCTGTTTTACCAGATACTTGTAATAAATATGATGGGCACATGGTCTAAAAGTACAAGCTTTGGTGGACTGACTGGAAGAAATAATTTAAAGAAGCCATTGTTTTGTATAAAAGAAACCAAGGCTGCAATCCTATGCAAGCTTTCCTGGAAGTAAGCATCATTGAATATAGTGATACTTCCAGGTATGCATGCAGTAGGATTACATTGTTAATCTTATAGTTTGTAGGACTAACTAGGATATATCTTTTTCTTAATTGGTTTAATTTTTTTAACCTGTATAAGCTTTCAGGCCATGTTCAGTTTTTTTACAGTCAAAATGAATGTGAAAAATGTATATTTTTTCTGTTTGCAATTTTTTTCACATTAAAAATGATTATGTCATCTGTCGTCTTGTTTCTCCAGCTTGATCCAAGAATTATTCAGCCCTTTTTGGCAGACTGTCGACAAACAATTGCCAAATTAGATAATCAGAACATGAAGGCCATTAAGGGGCTTGAGGACAGGCTTTATGCCTTGGACCAGATGATAGCTAGCTGTAGCAGACTGGTAAATGAACAAAAAGAACTTGCTCAGGTAACAGAATTGCTGTAATTTTTATGAATGCGACAGAGAAGCACTGTTTTCTTTATGTTTTGTTAAAATATTATTGTAAGATCACAATAGTCATAGTTTAGTTTTAGGTTATAGGTGAGATCTACTAATAGTATGTAATGTGTTGTATTGTGTCAGAAAGTGTCTTCTCACCAGCCTTTTTTATGGTAAACATGGATACCTTGGATGATAATATTACGAGCAACTAGTTACAGTAAACCTAATTGTTGAGCTGGGGTAGGTACTTCAAGAGTGGGAAAATGTGCATGTGTTCTTTTTATGTCCTACTGTGTATGAAAAGAAACAAATGGCAAAAAAAAAAAAACAATAACATGGTTAGACAAGGGGAAGCTTGTTCACCTGTGAGAATTTTTCATTTATTTTGCTAGAAGGTCCCATTCTTTGCATTTATTGCTATCACAACAGCATGAACTGGACAGTAATGAAAAAATATTTTGAGCAAATGTGACATTATTTTAGTTCCCAGTTCTGCAGAGTAATAAAAAGGTGGCAAGCACCTATACGTCTGTTATATATAGATTTTTGTCCTTAACTACTTCTGCTCAGTTCATCCCAGTAACATTTTTACTATTTTCATCTGAGCAGTCGATGTGATAATAAACTACTGTTAAAGTTTCAAAAAAAAGTTTTCATGTGAGATGTGGGTGGGAGCTTCTCCTAGGAGTATAGAAATATTAATATGTTTCTTTGGATACAGGACTCTGTAGCAGAAGTAGGTCCATCTTGGCCCTAACTCTTGGCAGCGTTTGTAGCTACTTTTAATACAAAACTTAACATAAGAAGAGTTGTAATAGATCAGACCAAGCACCATTCTTGTCCAGCATTCTGTTCACACAGTGGTGAATCAGCTGCCCTGGGAATTGCGCAAGCAGGATATGAGTGTGACAGTATACTCTTATTCATGTTCAGTTAGGAAAATGAAAAGAAGCAACTGCCCATGGTTTAAATAATTGAGAAAATGTTTGAAATGTCAGTCAGAGAGACTGATAATGTACCAGTAATAAAAATACTTTCCTTATAGAGGTGCCATTTGAGTATAATTTAAACAAAAATACGAAAGGAAGCAAAAGTAGCTTGTGTATACAGCATATCAAGTTTTTTTGTTGTTGTTGTATAATTAAATCTGAGCCTTATGTTTTAACTGTATTGTCAGTAGGTGGCAATACATCATAAGACTCCTTAGCTCAACTGTTAAGTCTGATACAAAACTTTTACGAAGCTTTGTGCCTTCATGCTTTGGTTGTGTTTTTAATGAAAATAAGGTTATTTGATTTTCTTTATTTCTTTTCATAGGAATGTATGAAATTACCTTATTCTAAATTAGAAAACAGTACTGTTAGGGTTTACTAGTCTTTAAGGCAGGAGTCCTTCTAAACTTTTTGAACGTCAGTGTTAGATTTTGAGACTTTTGAGTGATGCTCCCTTCCTATTCAGAAAACCATCAGAACTCCTGAAAAGCTAATAAAAAAGAACAATTCAGATGTTGACAACCCAGTCATGTGTCAGTAGTCCAACTACTGTTAGATGTGACCACAATTGACACATTTCTCATACAACTTTCACCAGCCAAACTATTTGTATTACTAGAAATCATTGGGTGAATACCATCATTGAAGATAATTAATTGTCAGCTTTATGCTATGAATGTAAAATGATTTCAGATGTAGTTCTACATATCTACTGCCCTATGTGGATGAGTAAAATTTAAGGGAAATGCTGTTCAGTGGTGGCTCTCAAATTATGGAATACTTTCTCTCAGACACAACTGGCTGCCTGCATTTCTAGCAACAGGTGAAAACAGTTTTATTTTCTGAGCTTTAAATAGGCAAATTATTCTTGCCATTTTATGATTGTCTTGTGGATTTAGATTTTTATTAGCCACCTGAGAATTTTAGACAAAAATGTAAGTGATAAATGTTACTTTATTTATTAAGACAATTTATAGCCGCCCCATCGCATGAGCCTCGGGGCGGCTTACAATCCTTAAAATCATATAAATAAATCATTTATATAGGTACAATGCAGTTTTTGTGTCATGTATAAGACACTTTGCTTATATGGAGTGTTCATAATCATTCAGTGAAGCCATGCAAAGGAATACAGTGATCCAACTACCTAGAGCACATTCTCTAAAATATAGTAAAGTTCTTAAAGTAGCAAGAAAAACAAAAGTAAAATAATTTCTTTTTCTCCTTTTCCCTCTTTTTTCCCTCTTTTTGCTTCCATGGTGTAACAGTATTTTTCATTAACAATTGTTTGTTTTTAGTATCTTTATTGTGCACTTGTTTTTAGTTTTAATAAATCAACTTTTACTATTGGCTGGTGACAGTCCTATACTCACTTAAACTGGAAGTAAAGCCAATTGAACTTAATGGGACCTATTTCTGAATAGAAAGGTATAAAATTGCCCTGTAAGTTGTGGTTTGCAGAATGTCCATCCACTCTGCACAGACCACTAAACCTGAAGAGCATTGCTCTTGTTTTGAGTGTGTGGATCATCTAAATCTATGTGAGCATGTGACAAAATTTGGAGATGCCTAATTTTTATATGCATATTAGTTTGCAATCTTCTTTTGTCTTTTAAATAATGGGTGGGAAGTATAGAAGATGAGTGTAACAGCAGAATTGGGTGAAGGAGAAAATCCCAGGGATCTGCCGGGAACTTTCAGAATTCTGGTGGGTCAGCCATCCATGTGTTTTTTAATGCATTACACTCTATATATAAATATTATACAGAGTATTTAACTGTATATTTGAGAGTGTAAAGAATTGGCACTTGTTTTCTTGCTGTTTGGAGGTGGGCAAGCATGAACTGTAGATTAAGAATGAAGTAAGATCTGTGTAGAGGTAAATGGTTGTTTTCATTTGGTCATACTGGTGAATTTTTCCATTCTTTTTTCTCATAGGGATTTTTAGCTAATCAAAAGAGAGCAGAGAACTTAAAAGATCCTTCTGTGTTACCTGATTTGTGTTTGAGTCATGCAAATCAATTGATGATCATGCTAACTAACCACAGGAAACTTTTAGATATTAAACAGAAATGTACCACTGCCAAACAAGAACTTGCAAATAACTTACAAGTCCGTCTGAAGTAAGTGATGCTGTAGATATGCTTGATTCTCCCTCCCCCATGTTTGCTTTTGTAATTTTGTCTTACATGAGATATTACAAAAATTATTAATTCATTGCTAGGCCTCAACTGTTTCCTATGCGTTATTGTACAGAGTTGTTTTTCTAAAAAAAAATTCCCATCATTTTAACCTTGAAGTGTTTTCTTCAAAATCTAAGGAAAATAACTTATTTATGCTTAAGAGGTTTGTACAATTGTGTTTCTCTCTGTTGTGATATTTCTTCTTAATAAACAAAGAGAAAAACATTCAAAATAAAAGACATAATGTGAAGTTTTGTTGTGTGTAAAGTAGGCGCTTTTACATAAGAGCTACATTAGAATTGCTAATATGCCAGTAGTTATTCAGAGCCTGTTAGTATTCATCTGTCAGCCACTTCTAATTTGACAGAGTTTGTACTATGCTCAGCTGTAATTTCTACTGCTTCATTCCGCATAAGCCCAGAATGGCCCCAAAGAGGTAATTGTATAATGATTATCAACTAGATTGAAGGGGTCAAAAAAAGAATTCTCAAAGCATCTAAGCAGTTTTATTCTTGCTCAGCATAGGACATTGCTCTTACTAGCAACTTAACTGCAATGAGGAGCTCTTTTCACTTTCTACTTTACAAACACCTTATGCTCAAAATGTGGAGGTTACTTTGAAAATAGTAGTATGTGGTGATTTTACCACACTGTAAGTTATCTATGTGTAGGGCTGCTCTGCATCAAGTTTTTCACTGCACCACTGTGGAAAATTGCCCAGGCCAAATGTCAAAGTAGAGGTAACTGTGGGAGGCAAATGTGATCATTTTTATGACTCATAAAAAGTAGTCTGGAGTGGGGGTGGGTTTGATTAAACTAAGTAATAAGAGTCCACTGTTACAGGTTGGTGGTAGGAGGAATGGCCCCGAAGAAAGATTTTTATTCTGAAAAGCATTTGGTATGAATAAACCAATTTGACATGCCAAGAATTTTTTAATGTTGTTTTTAACTCCCTGAATTCAGTGCCACTGTCCCTTTGTCAGTTGGCCAACAAGCTAGTTTAGCAGCCTGGCAGTCTAATATGTTTTTTTTAAATTGTACTATCCAGAGGCCATGACAAATACATCAAATGAATATGCATAAGCAACAAAATGAAAAAAAACAATATAAAGTATGAATAAATTAAAATATAGTGGGAACAGAAATTCATCTTTAACTCTGAATCTGTAATGCAATTTACAGCAATTTTATCTAATTCTCTCTTCCTTATTTATTTATTTTTTTGCTGCCAAAGCAAACAAAACAACTTTATGTGTAACGTAACTATTAGTATCACCTAAAAGAGCTGTTTCTGCCAAGACATTCCTGTATCTATCTGCAGGTTTCAAGAATCTCTGGGGTCAGTATATAGAGGACAGATTAATATGTAATGAATAGTGTCTTCAGCTTGATAAAACCACGAATGCATAATCTCTATTCAAGAGTTACCTTGCTGTATTAACCCATTACTGATCCAAAACTGTGGTTGGTAGAACTTGAAATTGCAACTAGTAAAGGCATTTCTTTGTTGTGGCCTCTGTGCATCACACATATGGGTCCTGTGCCTGTGCAGTGCCTTTGGCCAGAAGATTGCAAGCTAACGGTTTTTGGCAGGAAAAAGCTCCGCTCCCCCTCCCCCATAGCCTATAAAGAGCGGAGCATCCACCATTTTGTTCAGTCTTTGCGACCGCCGTTCACTGTGCCTTGTGCTGCTTTCGCTTGACTATTGGTCGTTTACCTTGTTCTCGATTGTTCTCTCCCAGTTGTTATAGCCCTTGTACTTCTTGTAGAAATTCTTGTTCCTTTTAGTAGTTCTCTGTTTTCTCTATCGTTCTTCCTTTTTTCGATCTTTATAAAACAAAAACAAAAAACAAAAAATATGTACTTACCCTCTGCACTATCTCCTTTCTTTCCTTTTCTTGCGATGGCGCAGCGAGCGGCTTTCCGCAAATGTGCGGAATGCGGATCTAAGATGTCTCCAACCGACCCACATGACCTATGCCTCGTCTGCTTGCGGGAGGGGCATAGGACTGATAAATACTCTCACTGCCTGGCCTTCTCTAAGCAGGCCAGAAAAAATTGTGAGAACCGCCTGCGGAAACTCTTGTGGGATCGAGCTCTCATGCAGTCCAACCCACTTGTTGTTACTCTGAAGCCTGGCTCTGCTACAGTGGCTCCGCCCTCACGCCCTTCGGATGAAGGCACGTCTACCATGGGGGTTCCACCTGCTTCCCGAAGAAAAATCATGAGAAGCGCAACCATGCTGAAACCGACAGATCAGCAGGCCATAAGAAAGCCAGAAAGAAGGCTCTGAAGCCACCGAAAAAATCTAAGGAGTTGGAGCGTCCTCGACACTGTGACTTGGGTTCGATGGCCCCCTCTGTACTGGTGGCAGTCACCGAACCGACTCCACCGAACCCGGTGCTTCAGGCAGCTATGAGGGTTACCCCTCAAGGGTCCCCTCATCGTGTGGCTGACCTTCCTGCTGAGCTGCTTCCAACTCTACAATGGGGGTCAATTTCTGATGAGGAAATTCAGGACTCTCCCCCTAGGGCTAGGTCACCCACACCTATGCCCGCAGCCACACTGGAGGTGGATGTAGAGATGTCCCCACCTAGGAGTCGGAGGAGCCGCTCCATGGAACAGCACTCTGAGGGATGGCAGCATTCCTATCCAGCCTGGGGTGATCCGCACTCCGTTGGGTACTATCCCGCTACTAGAGGTCGGTCTTCACCACCTTCCCGCGACTGCCCACTGTCCTCAGGCCTGAGGTGCGCATCTCCGATACCTCCTCGGGATGGAAGTAGCTGGTCCTTCTCTCCGGTGGACTCCTATTCATGCCCCCTCCCCCCCGTATTATGGTGCTGACTCTGACGATTTGGAGGTTGATTCAAGCTCCCCTGATGTCGCTGTGACCTCCCAAGGCCCTGCGTCACCAGACGAATCCCATGTCTCCTTCGCGGAGCTGATGTCCCAGCTTGTCCAGTCCCTTGACATCGATGCCGTCCAGCATCAGGGACCCACTACGGACAAGTTTTATGACGTCCGCGGGGAGCAGTCCACATCAATCGCCCTGCTGTTGATCACCACCTTAAGACAGGCGATGACGCAGCCCTGTGACTTGCCTTCTCACCCTCAACCCACTTCTCGGAGGTACGAATCCATGTACCGGGCTTGGGAGGAGGATATACCCTTCCTCCTCCGCCACCCCAAGCCGAACTCGGTCATGGTGGAGTCCTCCCAGGGCAGAGAGGTGAGAGGTCACACTGCGCCAAGGGACAAGGAGGGACGAAAGATCGACTCCCTGGCCAGGTGAGTCTACGCTGCCTCAGGCCTGGGGCTGTGAATTTCAAATTACGAGGCAACGTTGGCGAAGTATCAATACTTCATAATGCAACGCCTCCACAACGTCGCCTCAGCCCTCCCGGACCACCAGGGTGACCTGGCTAAGGTCCTTATCAAGGAAGCAATGCAGGTCACCGTCCAGCAGTTGTCCACAGCCAGGCATCATGTGGACACAGACTCAAGGGCCTTGGTCGGTGCTGGCTCTCTCTGGAGACATGCCTGGTTAAGAAATTGCAACTTCCCAGAGGAGACTAAATGGCGAATAGAGGAAATGCCCTTTGTCAGGTCCGGGCTTTTCCACTCAAGAACTGACCACAAGCTGAAGAAACTCCACGAGTCCCGCACGACAGCCCAGCGGATGGAGCTTCAGACCCAGGCCAGGCCAGGCGTAAGTGGTCATGGACCTGTCCATCCTATAGGCAGTCATACCAGCCTAGACAGTAGCCCCAACACAGGCCGCAGCAACAGCAATGCCGCCGTTAACAGCCTCAGCAATGTTATCAGCAGGCCCATCGTCATTATGACGGAGATAGGAGGCAGTGTTGACGGGACTGGCGAACCTTTCCTCTGATCCCTTCCATACCCACCCCCCCTCTCATCTGGGGACCGGCTGCGAAGCCGACTCCCCATTTGGGAGTCCATCACATCTGACCGGTGGGTATTATCCATTATACAGCATGGCTATCGGATAGAATTTGACATTGTTCCTCCATTGAGTCCAATCTGGTTTACATCATGCTCGCCGGTATTGCTCGATGAAATCCAACAACTGCTTCGTAAAGGAGTGATTCGTCAAGTAACTCCATCTGATGGACTTCACAGATTCTGCTCCAGATATTTTACGATCCTGAAGCGGGATGGTGATCTGCATCCGATCTTGGACTTACACAATCTGAATCGATTTATCGCGACAAAAAAGTTTCGAATGACCACCCTTCAAAATATTCTGCCGCTGCTAAGGAAGGAGGATTGGTTCACCTCATTGGACTTGAAGGACGCCTATTTCCACATTTCGATTCACCCAAGTCATAGGCGTTTCCTTCATTTTGCTGTTGCACCCCATTTATACGAATTTACAGTTCTACCTTTCGGACTGGCCACCACTCCGAGAGTGTTCACCAAATGTATGGCCCCTGTCTGCGCTTTCCTACGTCTCCAAGGCATACAAATTTACCCTTATGTTGATGACTGGTTGCTGGTGTCCCAGTCTAGGGAAGGACTCCTCGCTTCCATCCGTGCAACCTGTGCCTTGTTAGACGATCTGGGACTATGCATTAATACCAAGAAATCTTATCTTCTCCTGACGCAGACGCTTACCTTCATTGGAGCCTGCTTGGATTCAACGCTGGAAAGAGCCTTCCTTCCTCGGGACAGACAGCAGACTCCCGCTCGCCATATCCATCGAATGCGACAAGACATGACCGTTCCAGCAAAGTCCATCCAGAGTCTTCTGGGACACATGGCTTCCTCCGTTGCTGTGGTGCCACATGCCAGACTTCGTCTTCGTCCTTTACAACTCCTCTTCAACAAGATATTCCACCCACAGAGAGATCCGCCGTCAAAATTGATTCAAATCCCATCCTCGGTCCTCCATTCTCTTATCTGGTGGTCGGTCC